TCGAACAAATCATCTGTGCTCGCTCGTCGCGAACACACTCGCTAACGAAGGCCGGTGAGGTATGATTCATACTTTGTCACCGAATCGACAGTGGAATACGGCTGCGCTGACGACAGGACGACTGCATATCGGTCGGCGAAACAAAGTGCTCACCGGGCTGGAAACCGGGCGAAAGGCGGTGGAAACACCCGGATTTCCCGCCGAACATCCAGGAAGCGCCGCGGTATTTAGCGCCGGGTCACCGAACTCAACGTCTGCTCCGCCGTCCAAAGGAAGAACGACGGCTAAGCCTTCAGACGTTGCCAAATCTCCATGCAAAAATCACGAATTTTCGGAAGAATGCGTGGATATTTTTCCTTGGATTTTTCCGAGAATTTTGTTCGTACTTTGCACTGGAAAAAAACTCATTGGATCTAGAGTCCAGACTCTTAAAAACACCGACAAGAAAAAATACTCTTGAATCAATCAGTTTTAAGCTTAAATCAAGAATCAAGCCTCTTAATTTGAGCGGATTTCCTTTCGATTTAAGCTTAAATCTGATTGAATCAAGAGTATTTTTTCTTGTCAATGTTTTCTAGAGTCTGGACTCCAGATCCGATGTGTTTTTTTTTCCAGTGTGATTTAAAGTGTATAAGAGTTTCAAGGGAAAATATTCATAACTTTCTGCAAGAATAAATATATTTAGAGAGGAAATTTGGCAACATTCGAATGCTCATACGGTGTTTTATCTTAGAACGGGAGTGCTCAGTGCTGTCATCTCGGCAAGAGAGGTTCTCCTCCGCCGCGATTGATATTCCACGGATCGTGAGTAATGTCGTTTTGATTTTGGCGGCACTCGCGTCGTCCTATCTCAGATGAAAGAACTCAACTACATCTCAGCGTTTCCATTTAGAGATGGCTCGCTTTTAGCAGTAGCTATTTTTTTTTTTTTTTTTTTTTTTTTTTTTTTTTTTTTTTTTTTTTTTTTTTTTTTTTTTTTTCTTCTTTTTCAACCTTTAAGGTAAGATAAGATAATACTTTATTTGGTTTTAGTGCTTAATGGCTTCAAAAATGCCCTGGTAAAAATTGGCGATAAGAGCTGCGTTTCAAAATACCATAGGAATTCTTATAGCCGCCTAAAGAAGGCTACAGAAAAAAATCATATAGCTGGCTGTAGAATGCGGAGTAAATCATACGGCCGGGCTATACGAAGCGATAAAAAATTATGCAGCCGGGCTATAGTTCCTATCGCCGGGCTTTACACTTTATCGCCTGGCTGTTGCTTAATCGCCATCGGCTATAAAAGGCTACAAGAAATTGTGTAGCCGGCTATAGAAGATATTAGAAATCTTACAGCCGGCTGTAGGTCTATGGTATTTTGGAACACAGATTCTACTGCCAATTTTTACCAGAGTGCGTCAAAATATATAAATATACATATAATATTAAGGGGAGTCTGCAGTCATTTTTTTTTCAAAAATTTGTCCAGGTTTTTTGTTCCAATCGAATTTCACATATCCTCATCTGTGATTTAAGACCACATTTCTTTAATTCTGATCATTATAGAATAAGCTATGCAACGTTTTGTGACAAACGAAGTGATGCGATCCTTATGTGTGTTGAAAGCTTCGAACCAGTTTTTCTCAAAACAATGTATTTTGACCTTAAGGTACACTTTTCTCAGGGTCTACTCGATGGATTTTCAAAAACTTTTTTGTTTGTTTTTCTCTTAACATTTTTATTTAATTACATAAGAGGATGTTGACTAATGTTCTCCTTTAAATGAAAAGAAAAATTACATTGAAGGCTTCATTTACTTATTTTTTTCTCTTTTTTTTATGTAGCCGCCCAAGACAAACTGTGTCTCAGAAATGCTGATTGAGATCCGGAAGGAACAGATGGTTCCGGCCTTCAGGGGGAGAAAATAGCGGGTAGAAGGACCCCCCCACCCCCTCGCCCCCTTAAAAAATTTTGACGTAAAACCAATCGTAAATTCGAAAATACGGTGATAAAAAAGTTTAAAAAACCATACCTACTTTCATTCCATTAAAACTTTTTTTTCACGGATTACGGCTTGAGATTGATGTGGCACCAAATAATCACCCACAACGACGTAAAACATCTCTATGTCCAGGATAACAGACGTCAATGAGGAAGTGATGATAGGGAGTTCTTAACTAATTTTCTACTTAACTAATGGAATTTTGAATCCCACAGAGGGAGAAAAAGTAAAAGCTCTGACGGTGTGTGAACTTTTTTCCAAATGAGCAAAAAGACGTCGACCATTAGGTCATGACATCATTCGAAACCTTGATTGCCTGGAAAACTTTGAAATTGCATTACGTCATCGAACACGCTTGAATGAAAATGAACTATCTCCACTGTGACATGAGCTTTTTCATTCAAATATTCTTTAGTGTTTTAGAGCCGAAGTTACAACTAGATTGTTCCTTTTAGTAGCGTGGAGTGCTTTACGACGCATCGATTGATCTGCCACTTAAACCTATGGAAAAGGATCGATAAACAGGGTGTTTGCAACCAACACCTCAATAATCGATTCTTTGCCCTATAGCTTCAAATAGGAAAATATCGATCATTGATCATTCACGCCACGCCACCGGTTTCTTTTGATTTAAAAAGTCCAACCCCTACTTTTTGCGTTCCGATATATAACGTGTGTACAAAAACTTATAGAATTAAAAAATCAAATTTAAAATCTGGGCACTATACATGTATTATAGGTGTTTTTTACTTACATAGCTTAAAGCTTTTTCGGCTCACCCCAAGCTATCATCAGAGCTCCAGAGCTTCGCCACAAAAAATAATAATAACCATATCTTTAAGCTATGTTAGTAAAAAACACCTATAATTAATGTATAGCGCCCAGATTTTAAATTTAATTTTTTAATTCTAGTTAATGGTACTACTCCAAAAGTGTTTGAAAAAAACTTATAGGGCTATCCATATACTTCTGGAAAACCGTCGTGCGTCAATATAGTCATAATCAGTTTTACCTACGTTTCTTTTTGAGGAAACTGAGCTACTTTCATCCGTAGACACAATGAGTTTGCTCCGAACTTTTATTGGAGCGAAACTAGGCGTAGGGGTGTTTCCGCCGACCATGTTAAGCGGTCGGTGTGTTTGATTTCGGGGAAATATGTCCCGGGTTCGAATCTCGGCAGTGACGATAAAGTAATGGTGCCTTGGGTACGATAAGGACCTTCACGAAAACCATGGTTCAAGACATGTATAAGTAAGCGATTGAAAGTTAGAATGTTGTTCCCGTCAACATGTTATGCCAGATTTTCAATTGATCGTCCCGCAAAATTTAGGTCCTATGAAAGATGCTGACGGTTGCAATCCTTATTTGAAAGAAAAATTTAAGGATGAAAGAAATAGTTTAAGCTGCCAGATGAAGTGCCTTTTCTGCATAAAACGAGATAAGTCTTACAGAATAGGTGCGTTGACTCAGATAATTCACGTATCGTATTCAGACGTATCGTTCCCTTTGAAGTATTTAAATGTGAAAGCAGTAATTATACACTGGTAACCGCTCTTTTTGACCAACTTTTCAACTGAAAAACCAACGGAAAACCAAATAATACACAATGAACCACTAGCCAAGGTACAAATTTAAGCATGTGATACATGTTTCTCAGTTAGAATTTCACGTAGAACACAATTCTTGCATCGGAAATTATTGAAGTCAAGTCCCAACTATGATTTTCACGTTTTTAATTTACATCAGTTACGGGAAAATTGCTTTGCGTTTGGCGCAATGCGAGAAGTATTCATGTAGGCTTGTAGGCGTTAATATGCGTGTCACGCTGAATGCACCGTTTGGCGCAATGCGTGAAGTATTCCCACAGTCTTGCAGGCGCTAATGTGCGTTTAACGCCGGCCGCGGCCGCACTGTGTTCGGCGCGATTATTTGAACTCGCGTTAGAATAATCGCTCATGCTGTGTTTCGACGCCGTATGAGCATTTCAACGTTGTCTCGTTTCTCCCGATAATATATGTTTTCCGAGAAAAGTTAGGGAAGTTCTCTATGCTTGTTTTTTCAGATTAAATGGACCATTCAACAAGGTACGAATTTAAGCACTCTGGTACATGATTCTTCAAAATTTCACGTAGAACAGGATTCGCACAACGAAAGCTATTTAAATCAAGTCCTAGCTATGATATTAACGTTTTCATGGTACATTGGTTACGGGAAATTTGATTTGCCCCATCACAAGAAACGCAACTCTACTTGAGTCCAATCTCGTACCACAACGGTTTCGGCAGGCCTTTCAATCAAGCACTGTTCATTTCTCACCCTGTGTTGTTAAAACTATAAACAGTTTTCCATAGCTGAGCCGAAGTTTCAAGATTTAAGTTGCCAGGATGCTCACATTGCAGAGACCGTCATGGTAACGTTTTGTGCGTGATTTGACTCACGTAGATCATTGTGTATTCATGAGCGGGAGGTTTGAATTCTGGCGTCAAGAAACATTTAATATCCTGGTTAGGAGTTAATTTCAGTAATTTTCGTTGAGTGAATCATGTTCTGCGAGACATTTGGATAATGACATATGTATCAGAATGCTCAACTTCGTACCTTGTCTAGTGGTCCATTCTGAGTAGATTTTAAGGACGGGTGCGATGTTACGACTGCTCGACGTTGATTTTGAATAATTTACTGTTTGTAATAAAACAGCCAATGAGCATTCAAGAGTTGTCAAATTTCCTCCGATAAAATGTTAATTATTAAGGAAAGTCATGAATATTTTCCTTTGAAATTTTCAGGAACTTTAGCAGAGACTGCGAGAAACATTATCTGAAAATTCAAAAGAAAAATATTCATAAGTTGACCAGAAAATTCGTATTTTATCGAAGGCAATTTGGCACAGCCTGAAGGTTCATACGGCGTTTTTCCTGAGAACGGCAGTATGATGAGCCCTTGATTGTATCAGTATCATTGGTCATCCGCCAGTTTTGCACATGGGTGTAAGGAATGGAGGATCAAAGTAAAATAAGTGTTTTTTCGTCCAAATCAATTGTGTTTTAATCAACTCGAAAAACAAAACTACTTCCATTATACATATTATCCCAATAATTTTGATTTCAATTAATCCAGATATACTAGTTATTTAAATCGAAATAGTTTATAAAAACATCAATATGTGGGATTAAAAATAACTTTAAATATGAGTTTCTAAAGATTAACAAAAGTATAATTTTACTGATATGCTCAACTATTACTCTGTTAGTAGCAATTAACGTAACACATTTTAAAAAGACCGTAACTATTATAATCGAGTGAAAATCATGTCGATCATTAGTTGATTTTTCGAGTCCAATAAAATCATTCATTTTAAAATCGTCAAAAAAATTGAGAAAATGAAAGAAATCGGGCTTTATGATTCTGCATCACGAAAGGACTTCAATCAGTTTCATGTCGATTGCTTTTACATCGGCGAATACGGGTTGTAATTGCCGAGCCCAGACCAATTCCAACTCCAGTCCCATAACTTTTCGGCCTTTTCATCATTTTTTCGTCCACTTCTTGCTGCTCTGAGGGGTTTCGCCTTGTGGCAGTTGCTGAATAACAGTATTCGCAATGAATATTTTAAGAAGTTAGAGAACGGATCGTCGTTCCCCCCACCATTGGCGAATCCAGGAAATTGGCAACGTTGCTTTTCTCCATTTAAACCTATGGAAATGTATCGATTCTTAGAGGGGGCAAGTGCTCCGACAATAATCGATTATTTCACATAGCTTTAAATGGAGAAAATCCGGTGTTGCCAAATTGCTGGATCCGCCTCTGCCCCCCACGGAGGAACGTAACTACATTTCAATGTTGCCAAAGTTCCCCTCGCAAATTGCATTTTTACCAGAGGAATCTTGAGCATTTTAACTGAAATTTGTAATGACTTCTCTTCTATAATTTCATGCATGAATGAGAAAATATTCGGACATGAATGGAGATGTTGGATGAGTGAGGAATTCGCGATTTGACTCTTGATTCTTGTGTAAAAGTTTGCGAGAAACACGATGGTGCCACTGGTTTTCTCTGAAATCAACTCCCAAGCTCAAAAAAAGCTCTCAAGTTGAGGCCAAAATGGAGGGGATTTCCCACCCTACCCTCAGAGTTCACCTCTACATCCAAACAAACTCTCCATGCAAAGATAGGGAGCAAATACATTGACAGAGTTGCCACTTTATTTGGAGACTCCAAAACTGAAAACACGGCAACCCTCTCAATGTATTTGCTCCCTATCTATGTATAGAGAGTTTGTTTTGATGTAGAGGTGAACTCTCAGGGTAGGGTAGGATATCCCCTCCATTTTGGCCTCAACTTGAGAGCTTTTCTGGAGCTTGGGAGATGATTTCAAAGAAAACCAGTGGCACCATCGTGTTTCTCGCAAACTTTTACATCAGAATTAATGGTCAAATCGCAAATCTCTCACACATGCAATATCCCCATTGAGTTATGTTCTTTCGAGCGGGATACGACGAAATTAGCTTCAAGAGAAAATTAAACACAACGAATCAATAGGAGAAATGTTTGGCATATGCATGGAGGAATCAAGACTCTGTCACAGTTACCTGCAAGATGCCACCAAAAGTCGATTATTTATCATGTTTCCGTAAACTTTATTGCAACGACTCGGAGATATTTTAACCACCAATCCTCTCTCTCGGCGTTTTCGTTTTGGGTCGCAAAATTGAAATATTTATTCGGGAAAAAATTAGACACTTTTCATTGGCCATGTCAACCATGGACCGATTTTAACACTGGACGAAAAAGAGTTCACGGAGAGAAATTTCAAAGGAAAAGTTTGGTTAATATGGAAAGTAAAACATCGAGTAACCCTACCCTCCTTTTGACAATTCCAAGAGAAAATGTCAGCTGGTCTCATTTAAGAAATTTAATAAGAGCGAGTGGTGAACACCGATGTCGCCAACGGAGGAATTTTCCCATAGTCTTTCCATTGTTTTCTGCGCTAATTGCACCGCAAACTGCACTAAAATCAACACAAAATTTGTGTTGGGTTGTGTTTCACTTCCTATATTAACCAAAAGTAACACAAGAACACAGAGATTTTTATCAATGTGGACGAATCGCCCTATAACCCGTATAGGACCGCGGTCCGTAATGTTACGCCTCAGAGGCGGATCCAGCAATTTGGCAACATCGGATTTCCTTCATTTAAACCTATGCTAAATAATCGATTCTTGCCCCCTGCCCCTCTAAGAATCGATGCATTTTCATTTGATAAAAGGAAATGTTGCTAATTTGCTGGATCTGCCCACGGGACGTCATGGAATTGGGCTTTAAGTCCAGGGTGTCTAAAAGTCCGGAATTTCCGGAAAGTCCAGAAATAGTACTGATTTTTTAAGGGCGGTCCGGAAGTACCAAAAAAGTGCGGATATTCCGGAAGACGGTCCGGAATTTGTATCATTTTTTGTTATTTTTGCCGCAATTCGAGCGAGATTCTCGAAGTGCGTTCAAGGAAGGTGCTGAAAAAGTACTGAATTTTTCTGTCAAGGAGGTACTGAATTTCCTAAGATTGTACTGAAAAAGTACTGTAAAAGTACTGATTTTTGGCCAGCCTGTTTTAGTAGGCACCCTGAAGTCGATTTTCTTTGAAAGCTCTTGGTCTCATTTACCTGTAGTATTCACCGCTCTCTAAACCAGCTGCCTCGTCCAAAGCGCAGTAAAGGGTGGTTTGAGCCCCCTCTTCAGGTGTCCTCACAAACCATTTCACGAAATTGCTCTCGTAGAGATCTTTGATCCACTTGTTCAAGACCTTATCAAAGTGACGGGTCATCTCCGTGACGGCAATCCCCGTGTGCAACGAATAAGTCGTCACTTTAGAAATACCCAGTTCTGAAATATCGAAAGCGCATTAATAAAATATGATATTGGGTCACGCTCCTGTGTTACGAAAGAGAAGCAGCAATTCCCGAATTTTTGAAATTTAGTTTCCTTCGAAATTTGTTTAATCCAATCTTTAGTGTCTGCGGGCTAATTGTTGAAATTAATAATAGACAAAGAAGACAAAAGGAATTTTGAGGGATCCTATTGGTAGGTAGGGGTGGTTGCAATGGACGAAGGTGGTAGATAATAGACTAACTAAGGGTAATCCACTAGAGACCCTATACTTGGTCTATCATCTTCTCCCTCAGTCTATAGGAGCCAACCATTTCAACCAATGGGTTCGTTCCATACTCCCTATGTCTTTTTTGTCTATCAATTTAAGTAATCAGCCCGCTGATCTAGATAAAGCTTTTCTCACACGATCAAGTCGTGCTATCAACATATCAAGATCAAGCGTTATGATTGGCTTACTCCATGATTACTTGGACCAATTACAGCATTTGACCTTGATATATTGATAGCATCGTTTGATCGTGTGACTATAGCTTAACATGCAGAGGCGGATCCAGCAATTTGGCAACAACGGATTGCCTCCATTTAAACCTATGCTAAATAATCGATTCTTGTCGGAACACCTGGCCCCTCCAAGAATCGATGCATTTCCATAGGTTTAAATGGAGAAAAGACAATGTTGCCAATTTGCTGGATCCGCCAATGTAATACAAAACAAGTTGGATTTTGCAATCGCTAGCGATAGCAATATTCGTCATGGGAACGTTAGCTTCTGGGATATGAAAATGTTAAGGTACAGTTCGTTTGTAGTATCTTCAGAATTGAAGGGGCTATGTAATTTTGTGTCGACATCTCTTTTTTAACATTTTTAATTATTTTCTTTGCATACAATAAAGCTGTTATGTACCAATTATTTATTTTCGTTGGATTATATATGGTTTTCGGAAGTTAACGCATTTAAGTTTCAGGTTCGCTTTTTCGGCGTAAAGTATACATAAGGTGTCCCAAAAGCACCGGGACTTGTTCTGTAACTTCGAAAGTAAGATAGATACAGACATGATCTTGATCTTATTTTAAAGATCAACTCAATACTCATCGATTAAAACCAAGATCAGCTCAATCGGATAAAAATTGACCGAGTTATGGCAATTTGAAATCAGCGAGGAAAGTTTACGCCTACGGTTTTAAGGAAGATTCTTCATCGCCGTAAATCGAAAAGTCGGCCGATAAAGTGATGCTTATTAGAGTTTTTTTATTTTCGAGGTGTCATTCATCAACATTTTGTACCATCAAACACAACAGTTGACAGTGCGTATTATTGCAAAGTACTAAAGGAGTTGAGAATGCACATTTCCCGGAAACGGTCGGACTTGAAAGCTTCGTGGATACTCCATCAAGACAATGCGCGGCCTCACACATCGAGCTTAACACGTGAATTTATAAGTAAAAATGGAGTTGAAACAATCCCTCATCCCCCTTATAGCCCTGACTTGGCTCCATGTGATTTTTGGATGTTTCCTACGCTTAAAAAGGAGCTTCGCGGACGAAGATTCGTATCGAAGACCGAAATCCAGAATGCAATTCAAAACTTCTTCAACTCCATCCCAGAGGAAGAATTCAGGAAAACAATGTTGGATAAGTGGAAAGAGCGCATGAAAAAGTGCATCCGGTTTGATGGACGGTACTTTGAAAAGCAAAAGGAAGTTATGGAAGATTCGGAGGAAAGTGGATACGAATATTAACTTTTTGAATCCTGGTAAGCGAAAAATCTTCCTAAAAACCGTAGGCGTAAACTTTCCTCACTAATTTCAAATTGTCATAACTCGGTCAATTTTTATCCGATTGAGCTGATCTTGGTTTTAATCGATAGGCATTGAGTTGATCTTTAAAATGAGACCAAAATCATGTCTGTATCTATCTTACTTTTGAAGTTACAGAACCGGTCCCGGTACTTTTGGGACACCCGACGTATGATATGTTTACTCTACACATATGCCCGAATACGCATCATAAGGGACCTATGTGCTTCCTTAGTTGCCAAGTATTAATTATTGTTAGATGATTGGTCTAAAACATTCAATACAACCAGTAAAAATTAAGTGTCCCCTACGAGATTCGAACCCCCGCTCGCACAAAAGAAAGCTACATTACCCACTTGAGAGTGGTGCCGTAGTCATCGGAGCCATCTCGTCGCACGGAGAGGGAGCGAAAAAAGAGAACAGTTAAGTGATCTCGGACGCTGAGCGGGGCTTCACAAAAGAAGTCCTTGAGACTTTGTCCACTGATGTGATATGTCAGGACGGAGTAAGTGCCTTTCTCTGTGAGACATTGTTTGCCTATGCCCCCATGTGTCTCAAGGTTCATCTCAACATGCATCTGCTATCGCGGCAGTAAACTGAGGCAATATTTCTGTATTCATGGATTAAATCCATCAATCGAGTTCTGATTTTGGCTCATATATCCGTAACGGGTTCTCCAGAGCAATTTTCCACCTTGTACGATGGTTATTATTTCTTTACTTCTATTTTTCAAATTTGAGGTGGGATAATGGCGGCTTCTCAAGAGCAACGAGGTAGGCGATCTTTTGCACCAACGAACAGAAAACTGATGGCGAAAAATAACCAATCAGAACCTCCCAAAAAAAAGAATTTGCCTAAAAACGGAACTTCGTGGTTCTGCGCAGATTTACCAGTCAGAAACGACATCTCAAGGTGGAAAAAAACTCGCTGAAAGCGAATTTTAGCAATCAACACAACTTGACGTAGAGACATGATTGGCTAAAAAATACAACGGTTTTTGATACATCGGAAAATCAACCAAAAATCGGAGACTGGGCGAAACGCTCAAGGTCGCAGAGGTATAGGGAATCCCATTGCGAAAGCAACGGAACGATTCTAATATCATGGGGAACTCCGTTCCCATGACAAAAGAGATCTATGACAATGGAGTAATTGCGCGAAAATTGACTTAGTATCAGACAAAACAAAAAAGTTTGCTTTTTTGGACATTTTTCTGGACGTTTTTCTGGACGAACCAGAGACAGGTGGGAAATTGGCTTATGATACGCTTGGAATAATCTCACTCTCCCACTCAATGCTTTTCGCTAATGTAGCTCATCGTAAATCGTATTATTTTGCAAAGTGTTGTTGTTTTCATACCTCTTAGGCGTTTAGCGAGTATTCTCGAGAACCATATGTTCGCTAACTTACTTCTCGCATAAGCCCTCTTTGGTTTGTAGTTTTTCTTCATTGTAATATCATCGTAATACATGTTTCCGCTGCCTATGAAAATACGCAAAAAAGAGATGAGTTTTCCGACGGTTTACAAAAGTGATGATTTTTACCGAATTTATTAAAGATGTAAAGAGGTATAGTTTTTAGGTAGATAGACTTCATCGAACAAAGAGTCTGTTACCCTCTAGAGATGCAATTACACATGAGATTGAAAGAATAGCATTCATGATATTCGTGCAATCTCATCTGTATTTGCACAATTTTTGGCTCAGTTTAGAAACAACGTATGAGGCCTTATCTGTAACAATAGCGGATGTAAAAAATTACCTTCTCGAAACACGCTTAAAAAACTGCTTTGGTCACACATAAATTTAATATATTTGCCTCTGGCGTAATGTAGAGATCTCGCAGATCACATCACAAGTATTTTCTCCATGCCGAAACAGTTTTTTGAGCTTCTTTCAAAAAGGTAATTTTTCACATCCGCCATTGTTACATATAAGTCCTCGTATGTACCATCAGTTTCCGTATGCACGTAAATATGTGCGTACGGATGAGCCAAAATTTTTTAGCTCTTAATCGTAAAATGAAGTCCAATCGATCTTCATGTTGAAAAGCAATCTAACAGAATCAACGTATCTGTGGAAACATACACACGGAAAAAACGAGCTTAGGGTTGGAACCTACATGTTAGTGCTGGGCACTAACGAGGGTTAGATCAAATGGAGCCAGCAAGTCAGAGGAGTGCTGGGCACTAAACAGCTCGAGGCTGGGTCACTAAGGAAAAAGTAGTGTCAAGCCCTAAAGTGACTTTGGAGCGAGCGTAAAATATGAAACGTCTCCGCCTGGGATCGAACTCGGGTTGTGCCGGTGGAAGACCAGCGCGTTATCACCAGGCTATTGTGACTCCGACGTTGCATGGGTGAATTTACACCTGTTAAGCGCAACTACGTCTCGCGGCATCTGATTAGCACTACTCATGTTCAGTGCCCACTGGTACTGCCTTCCGATGTTGAGCTGTACAGCGCTTAGACGCCAGCCCTCAACTACTCCCCACTAAACGGCCAGTAGTGCTCAACACTAGTCTTGTTTTTTCCGTGCAGTCATGTTTTTACCAGTAACATGGGGTGAACGATCGATTATCGATATTTTTCAATTTGAAGCTATGGTGAAGAATCGATTATTGAAGTGTTCGTCGCGAACATCCTGTGTATCGATCCTTTTCCATACGTTTAAATGGGAAATAAATCAATCGATCCATCGCAAAGAACCCCACGCCCCCAGTTTTTACGTTGATCCTACGCTCCTTCGCTCCAATGTGCAGAGCCGCTTTCTGAAAACTTCAAATAAGTTTTGCTTAACACAAATATTCTTCAAACATTCCCTTTCATACGCAGACTCTTCGATTTTTGACTTAAAATAATACCGACAAACTTGAGTGCGTACGTACTGAACATGTGTGCCAATGAGGATACGGTTATGATTCGCGAGGGTGCAGACTTAATAATTCTCGGCAGAAGTTTCATGGTGAGTAAAAAGTGACTCAAGTGGTTGACCTGAAATTGCCACTCTTGTCCGTCAGGCGTTATTGAATATGGGCATGCCATCACCCCTGAAAAAACCGGAAAAACATTTTTGAAATGATTATGAGGTGATTTTTGGAATGATTATGATTATGATTTTAATGATTAATAAGGTTTGATTGGAACAACACCATTTTAAATTTGTAAATTTGAATTAGAACCAAGGTGTTGTATTGAATATTTATTATTACTGAGGCACCTTTCGGCTTACGCCATTTTCGGAGTACATATTCATCGGAACATAAATTTATCACATAGTGACAGCTAGTGTAAAGTAACTGTGATATATGTATGTTCCGATGAATATGTACCCCGAAGATGGCGTAAGCCGAAAGGTGCCTCAGTAATAATAAATATTCAATACAACACCTTGGTTCTAATTCAAATTCACAAATTTTTGAATTTTTGATGCATCTAATTTGCAGTTTAAGTCCATCTCGTCTTGAATAATTACGAAATGTAAGCGTATTTTCTTCTTCCATCCTCCATTCTTTCCTTCTCGTTTTCTTCCTCCTTTTCTCCTTGCGAACGGGGGGAGGGGCTTACCCCATGCTAGAGTCCCTTTATACTGAGAGTCAAGACAATGCGAATCCATTTCTGATTGGTAAACCGGATTTTAGGCCTTCACAGTGTCACAAACGGGAATAAAGATTACATTTTCACCAATTGCAAAGATTATAATCTGTAATGGACCGAGGAATTTCGGGTTCGACAAGGAACAAACGGAATGAAAGAAGGAACGGAGAAAGGAATTTGAGAATGAGCCGATCAAAGATTACGAAAAACGTTCAATTTCTGTAATCTTTATTCCCGTTTGTGACTCCATGAGGGGTGTTGTCTTGACTCTCAGTATAAAGGGACTCTACCCCATGCTGCATGTATAAATTCATTTCAACGCTCATAATGATGTGTTTAGGTGAGCGTAAATCAAATCTCAAGATATGCCCCCACCAGTTGCGTAGCGTTCTTTGCTATGAGCCAGAAAATTGATCTGCCATTTAAACTAATGGAAATAGATCGATTATTAGAGTATACCTTGATAATTGATTCTACACTATAGTTTCAAATGGGAAAATATAGATATCTGATTCTTCACGCTTCATCACTGCGTGTCGTGCTTTGCGATGTATCGATTTATCTGTCATTTAAACACATGGAAATGGATCTACTGTCAGAGTTAAACCTTAATGATCGATTCTTTACCATATCTTCAAATGGGATAATATCGATAACCGAACTTCGGTGTGTGTGACCGGAAAGTCGAATGCCCGCTCCGAAAACTTTGGTGTGCTCTATGAGTGTCATAGGAGATCTTGGAATCAGAGCCACAGGGTGGAAGTTCTTGAAGATTCATTGAAAACGTGGGAACATCAGAAAATTATGCAAGATCCTGACAAGTCAAAGAATTTCTCTTAAGAACCTTCAGGTTTTTTCGTCCGGCCGAAGCATTTAATTATTTTCTATCGCTCTCAAGCGATTTATCGATAAAAATTAGAACCTCTGCCTGCAAATCCTCGAGTTTCTCTTTTGCAAAAAAACTTCGCGCTGAAATTTTTACGGAAAATCCGTTTTCAAAAGAAATTATGCCCAAAAAAATAATTGAAGAGTTATGGAAAAATAAGGGTAAGTTGCGCTCAAAAACTCTGAAAATCAATGGAAAAGTCCGAAAATCCTGGAATTTTACCATATCATGGAATCACAGTAATGTTCCATGATTTGCTTTAAAATCAACCGAAATATAAATCATTTTCTAACGTGTCTTTTGGCTGAGAACGCCAGCCGCAAGGAAAACAGATTAAGACGTATAAAAATACTAAATGATTGATTTTAGAATACGGAACGAAACATTATCAACCCAGGAAGAAGTTCTAGAAATGATAATTTGACAATTGAAATCTTAAAAAATAACATAATTTCATTCAAGTTACGTAATTACCTGCATTGTTTATCAGATAATTGACTGGCGTTCCCGTTCTCAAGATATCATCAGCAAATTTATAAACAGTTTCACGGATTGACAGATCTAAATATTTGCACTCAACAGTGCCACGACCTTCTAATCCTTCTGTTTTCTTCCTAATGTCTTCGGCAGCTTTCTCACACGCATGTGTAGTGCGGCAGGCCATTATCACTCTAGCTCCTATTCTCATTTCGGAAAAATTGAAATTGATTAAATATGTATTGAAGAAGGAAAGAAAAAATTGCATTTAATTAAAATTGGACGGGCCTCTTTGCTTAGAAAGGCAGCAAGGCAGCAACATACACTGGAGATTAAGTATCTTGGACCCAGCGTTCCAGACGCTTAAAAAATTTGACAAGACAAAATACTCTGGACTCAATCGCGTGCATCGGCTTGCATGCCTCGACAGCCAAGCCTAAGCAGATTTCCTTTTGATTCAACCAAAAATCCGATTGGAACGAAAGTATTTTTTCTCGTAAAAGCTAATAAACGCCTGGACTCTAGATTCAAGAGACTTGATTTCCAGTGTATTTGTAGGAATTGGTAATAAAGGTTGATTTTTTATTTGAATTAAGTGACTTCACGATCATATCTGTAATTTGATTTGTAGATGTTTACATCTTTCTTAATTGAAAACTACTGAGTCTATTTATTTGTGAAGCTTCTCATCCAATTTTTGTTCACCACTCCAAAAGCTCCGGTAAAATGAAGGAGATTTGGGCTCTCCGTAGAAGCATTGAAAAAAAAGTACGAAAAGGGACCGAGACAAATTCTCAAACGAAAACAAAATTTTAAAGAGTATTACGTCATTACCGTAAATGATGTTCCTCTAGTGAAAAATGCAACAGAATCATTTTTAAAACAATTCTTTGGGGAATAGCAGCTTAAATTTAAGTATCTTACATTTAGGGGAATCTTTTCTTTTTATTATTTTCTATTTTTTGTTAATTTAGATAAATGTCCCTCAACTCCTCTATCTATACAACTCTTCTTTCTGGTATCGAACTTAGAATGGGCCTGTTGCAAACTTTTGCTAGAGCAAAACTAAGAGTTGTTTCTTATAGATAATGCCTCAAAAATCACGATGAGCGCATCGGCAAACTCTGAAATGCACTCATAACTTCACAAACTGCGTAAGAAATTTGCGGTTTTTTGAGCTTCCCGCTTCAAAAACGATACTACGGCACAGGTGAACATTTTGTAAGAGGAGTCGTTCCATCGTCGGCAATAATCATCATAGCCGACGCCAATCCGCCAAAACACGTTTGATGGGACGAGATAACACCTGAACTGGATTAGACCAGATAACAATCGGTGTGTTAACGTTCATATTTTCCACGCCCGAATGGATTGACCTTGAACTCTCCTTGAATTACGCGCGGAACTCCGTGCAAGCGTCGGCCATGATGAATATCGCCGACGATGGAGCGACTCCTCTAACAAAATGTTCACCTATGCCGTAGTATCGTTTTTGAAGCGGGAAGCTTAAAAAAACGCAAATTTCTTACGCAGATTGTGAAGTTATGAGTGCATTTCAGACTTTGCCGATGCGCTCATCGTGATTTTTGAGGCATCATCTATAAAAAACAACTCTTATTTTTGCTCTAGCAAAAGTTTGCAACAGGCCCATTATTTATTTAATAGAAATTTAATATAGAAATTGAATAGAAATTACAAAAGTAATAGAATTTATGTAATTCGAATTATTAATTATTTATGCTGGATTACGGATGAATGCGGTTTTTCATGAATTCAAAAGAAAACCGGGAACATTCAGATTCATGTTCTCCTTCCAACATGTCTCAACTCTGCAAATAAAATTATATTTACCTCTTTTGCAAAGTTCAAGGGCGGTAACTTTCCCAATTCCAGTGTTACTTCCAGTTACGATCGCCACTTTACCACCAATCCTTTCATTGCCTTTGTACATTTTATAGAACAGCTTGCTCATAACCTGAAAGAGGGGAACAAATTATTTCATCGGGAGTCCAGTTTTTTTGGTTGACAGAAAATGATCCATTCTGCCGTGATAGGTAAAAACGTAGTATTAGTATTTTAACGTTGCCAAAGTTCCTCTCAGAAAGTATTCATTTTTGAAGAACATTATGAATATTTTTCCCTGACAATGTCTGACTCTTTAGATCAAATTACGAAAGAAATCCCCTGAAAGATTGGAAGAGGACTATTCACATATTCTCCGGAAAATCCGTGATTTATCGAAGGAAATGTGGCAACGCCTGATGGCCCATACGGCGTTTTTCCTCAGTATGGCAGCATTGATCTGGGCATTTTCTTTGAAATTCTAAAACAATATCATGTGCCACATAGAATAACCGAATGATTCCACGATGTAACCGTTTCATTACAGGTACAAAGGACTGTGCAGTAAGGCTAACCTACCATATCCCCTAATTTTAACTGACGAAATTGAAGTGTTCTCTTCAGATTTCTGTCATAAACTTTGCTTTGAATCGTTCAATTGTGAAACCATAAGATGGTTCGATGGGCACCTTGCAAACTTCAACTAGAGCGAAAAGAGGAATCAATTTTTGTTGGAAATGACTTAAAAATCACGATGAGCGCATTGGGAAAGTCTGAAATGCATTCTCAACTTCACAATCTGCGTCTTTCTGGTCCAGTTTTCCATGATAATAGATTTCAGATGTGAATTCCCGGAAACTCACCCACAGGAGAGTTTTTCAAGTGTGAGTGATTACTGTGTACACACACGAGTGTGTGCTTTTTCCGTCGAAGTTTTCCGGGAAAAGACATTCCATTCGGGAATTGAAACCACTTTCCCGGGGATGAACCCGATTCCGAAATGAAGGAGTTCCTACTTACAATGGACCACTAGACATGGCACGAATTCAAGCATTCTGGTACATGTTTCTTAACCAGAATTTCACGTAAAACACGATTCGCGGAACGAAAACTAATGAAACAAACTCCAGACGAAGATATTAACGTTTTTATTTCACATTGGTTACGAGGAATTTGAACTGCCCGCTGACAAGAAACTCAAAGCTCTACGTGAGTCAAATCGCGCACTACAACGGTTTCAACAAGCTTCTGAATCGAGTAATGTTCATTCCCCACCATGTGATGTTCAAACTATAAGCTATTTGCTACAGCTGAGCCAAAGCGTCAATATTGAGGTTGCCAGATTTTTTTATCGGAGACTGTCATGATAACGTTTAGCGCGCGATGTGAATCACGCAGAGCATTGAGTTTTCATGAGCGGGTGTTTTGAATTCACGCATCAAGAATCATTAAATATCTTTTGAAGGAGTTGATTTTGGTAATTTTCGTCGTGCGTATCGTTTCCTACGTAAAATTTTGGTTAAGAAACATGTATCAGAGTGCTAAAATTCGTACCGTGTCTAGTGGTCCATTACACCCTCAAGTATAAGTGCAACTTAAAGATCTCCAGATTTGGTCCCCTTGTTCCTATTCGTTTCCCGCAAGAAGCTAAAAGTAAAATTCTTACCCGCGGGATACGCCATTTTCTGAATCTAGAGAACATGCTCGATCCTCCACTGCTTCCAGACTTGGACCTCCTGAAGAATCCGCTGTCCACGTTTCCCAGAAGCCCTACCAACAGCACGAATACTATAACTATCTTAAATCGGATTCTTAGAGCCATCACGATCGGTAACTTGTGAATCGACACGAAAAGTCGGCAGACTGAGCAATCGACGTGCTACTGCTCTACTGAAAGCACGAGTCTTCGAGCTGCTTAAAAAAGTACTTCCGTCATCGAGTGTTTTCAAAAACGTGGAGAACACCTCTTAACCTTTCGTGACTTAGTCAACCGCACCTCGCCGTCAGTTCGTTGCTTCCCGGACGAAGGAACGTAACTCCATCCTAAGGTTGCCAAATTGACTCGAATTATACAATTTTTTACAATAATGCACCGCGTGCATTTTTCGCCCGAAATTTTCCTGCTTTAATTACATGGAAATCAGTGGAAATTTTTTTTTTTTAAATCAGTGAAATTATCAGTTAAAAATGCCGAATATTTTCCTCCTAAAAATGAAATTTGCGAAGGGGAAGTTGGCAACATTGAAATGTAGTTACGTTTTTTCGCGAGGGAAATGCCGAGTTTTCGTCGCCACGCTGATGTAAGGGCGTATCTGAATTTTCTGGCGAGCCCCGTTCTTCGTATAACTCCATACTTTCTAGGGCTCATGTGGGAATAGAGGTACGCCGTTGTGTCAGAAAAGCGACGTCACGATCCACCGGATGACGTGGGACTCCGGAAGAAGAAACGCAACGCCTTTTTCAAAGCCTTTTTTACGATCCGCACAAGCATCGAATCGTTCGATTAACGCACGCAAGGCTCAAGAAGATATTTTTTTTGGTTGTCAATACGCGAATTATTGGTTTTTTTTTGGTGAATTGATATTTTGGCTTGTTTTTTCATGGATCAGTGCCTCAAAGTAAAAGAGGTACCTAACGCGGGAAAGTCACGCGTGTCAGCGTAGCAGGGTTGCCATGTTGTGCGGTGAAAAGTTTTTTTTTTTTTTGGTTGTCAATACGCGAATTATTGGTTTTTTTTTTGGTGAATTGATATTTTGGCTTGTTTTTTCATGGATCAGTGCCTCAAAGTAAAAGAGGTGCCTAACGCGGGAAAGTCACGCGTGTCAGCGTAGCAGGGTTGCCATGTTGTGCGGTGAAAGTGGATATTTTACATGGGTTTAAAATAATGGGGAAAGTGCTGATTTTCAGCAGGAGCTAGCAACTATGCGGCGTAGTACTACAGGTAATACTAATAGGTCACGTCAGAAGAACGTCGGCACGTCGCCACTTGACGTTAGGGCGTATATAGATTTTAACGTGAGCTCTGTCATCCATATACTTCCATGTTCCTCGAGGCTCAAGTGGATATATGACTTGCCCTATGGAATTTTGCTAGGTCCAAATGCTTCTGAATTTGAGGGAGGGAGAAACGGTAAAACCCGTGACGGTGCGTGGTTTCTTTTTAGTCTGAGTCAAAGACGTGCCACCACTAGGTCTTGACATCATTCGAAACCTTGATTTCGAAGGAGTAATATGGAATGAAAACAATTTTTTATGTTCCTAAATACAGGGTGTCCCAGGATTAAGTACGATTATTGAAGGAGTCAATTTTTTGGGTCAAAAAAGACGTTTTTGTGGCTTAACTTTTATTCCATAAACGCCTTCCCTGGGGACCACCCTCCACCCCCTTCGCGCCAACCCGCGCTACATTCAGTCCCTGTTATCTCGAAAACAGCGTATAAATAGGGTGGTCGCATCGAACACCTCAATAATCGATTCTATACCATAGCTTCAGATGGAGAAGTATCGATAATCGATCATTCATTTGTTGAATTTTTTGAAGGATAACTTGTATTATAGCGAAAAAACGTTAATATTTTTCAGCACTGAATCTAATGGTGCCGTCATAAATCCATTTTTGTCGCTAGAAACTTAAACTTTGGCCTTTTTTAGGCTCGGTACCCCCATAAACCCCGCGTCAAAATGAGTTATCCCTTATTTGGAGCTCAAAAATGAAAAGAACGTTCAGAATACTTCCAGTTACGAATTTTCGTTAATACTGGTTGATAAACATTGTCACAGTGTCAAAAAGACGATTTTTTTTCCTCCAAGTTTGGGGAGTCGTGGTCCCCAGGGAAAGCGTTTTTGGAAAAAAAAGTTATACCGCAAAAACGTCTTTCTTTGACCCAAAGATTCGACTCCTTCAATATTCGTACTTAATCCTGGGACACCCTGTATGATGTGTACGGAAATTAGGGCCGTTTGTAATCTTCTGGCACACCGTAATGCGTACACGTGGACATGGTCAGCTATGTCAACGTTACTCGTTGAGGTAGCGGAGCGGCATTTGTACGCTTATTATTTCACGAGAAGGTTATGCCCCCTGACCGCTTGGTGGTCCGATCTCCAGAAGCGCTTCACGTGTTAAGGGCTATGCGTGACGTGTTACTCTTATGATTTTTACTGTGGAGTAAGATTTGATTGGTATATGATTTACGTTAATCTTGCGAGGGAATCCATTTCCAATATTGTCGCTTGAAAAGCCTTTTACGTGGAATTCTTCAGAACAAATATGTGATGTGATGCCTTACAAATACATTTTCTCTAGTGGTTTATTGGCGGTTCTATAGGTTACTTAGTCGGTAGACGCCTATGCTGTCATCTATAGCTAAAAATGCTACAGTCTCAATTTTATTTTGATTCCAATCGGTGGCGAGGCGTGCTTTGCGTATTTTGATTGATCTACCATTTAAACCAATTAAAAGGATCGATAAATAGGGTGTTCGCAACGAACACCTTAACAATCGATTCTATACCATAGCTTCAAGTAGGGAAATATCGATAATCGATCATTCATTTATTGAATTTATTGAAGGATAATTTTATTAAAATGTGAAATTATCACTACCACTAACATGCCGCTCTTAAAGCATTTTAATTATCATCTAATAGTAAAAACATCATTATTAATGGTTACGGCTACCATTAGTAAGGAGTTCAAATGGAACATCACTGATTTTGTAATCATTAAGGTGAAACCACCAGTTACAGACACCCCCAAAAATGTGACCAGTTATAGACACCCTTCGTCTAAATATGGTAATAATAAGAAAGAAGTGACTCGGTTCTTTGTGTTGTTGTTTTTAATTCAACCCACATTCGAATGTGGGTTGAATTAAAAACAACACACAAAGAACCGAGTCACTTCTTCCTTATTAATACCATATTTAGACGAAGGGTGTCTATGACTGGTCACATTTTTGCGGGTGTCTGTAACTGGTGGTTTCACCTTACCGCAAATGATTCTCAATGGAAAGTTGTCACGCACGTATTTGGCAAAACCTCTTTAATTTCCGGAAAGGGGCCACGCATGAAATTAGGCCTTCGGTCCCTCCTAGTCCCACCTATGCTATGTGTGTAACCAATGAAGGATTGAAGTTCAGAAATTATTATTGTGTCCAAATTTGTTAGAATATTATATATTTTTAGAATAAGTAATACAATTGAGGTAATGAAAGGAAGATGTTGTTTTATTCTGCATCTAGAAAGGATCTCCACTCGTTTCACGTCGGTTGATTTTACTGTGGTGAGAATGGGTCATAGTCGCCTTCGTCTATTTTCAACTTATCCCAACTCCAATCCCATAGTTCCTTGGCGCGTTTATCATCTCGTGCAGTTTTGTTGGGTTTCGCTTTATGGCAGTTGCTAATAAATAGTGTCCGTCCGGAATATATTCAGAATGAGAGAGGAAATGTAGAAAAGAGAAAGAGAAAATAAAATAAAGAGCTGACAGCTTCCAGGAACTCTCTACCTTGACAGAGTCCATTGGCGGTTAGGTATTGCAGAGCTCCCTAGTGCACTGTAAACGCGGCTAATACATACGTAGAAGACAAAACAACAGTAAACGTTTTTGGCATACTCTTTTTTACAGAGAAATTAATGCGTAGGCTAAGAAAACAGTGTAATAAAGGCAGGGATTTTTTTAGGGGAGAAATATCTCACTCGATACTGATATCAAAACTACACTCGAATACGATATAAAGCTCTAAACAAATCCGGCCTTTAAAATCACATTGAATTAGTTTGTCAAAGGTATTCGGTCTCATGGAAACAGAAATGCAATCTCAAAATTCGATAAAAATCTCAAGTAGCTGATAAATGAAAGTGATCTATGCGACATATCGCATGTCGTTCTGACACAAAATACGACGGCCATCGAATCATCTTAAGGACATTCTCTCATGTAAAATTCCGCGAAAAACACGATGGTGCTTCTAGTTTTCTGTATATTTCCATCGTACAAATGAGAAAAAAACACTAAAATGTGGCCCGAATACTATATGCAGCAAGGTGGAGAAATGGTGCTGGGTCCACACCATTTCGCGGGGAAATCAAAGCCAAGAAGTTCCAAAAATTATAATAAGAGTAAGAAATAATTAAAGTATAAAATAAACTAGAGTAATAACGTTTACTTTTTACTCTTTTTACTCTCGTTTTTATAATTTTTGGAACTTCTCGGCTTTTTACTCTTTTTACTCTTGTTTTTATAATTTTTGGAACTTCTTGGCTTTGATTTTCCCGCGAAATGGTGTGGACCCAGCACCATTTCTCTACCTTGTTTCTATCGCACTTTATGTGGAAACTCGATAAGTGGGGATATATGGACCGAGTTTAACAGAAAGGAACCAAGCCACATCAGCTATTGCCAAATTTAACAGGGGAATTTGATTTTTTACGAGAGAACGTTCGTGCGGATTCCTTTGAAAATTTTACAGAATTTGCTTTGTATTATGGAGAAAATTCATGGAAATTTGCACAAAAATCCGCACAACCGTTTTCATGTAAAAAATTAAATTGCCCGATTAAATTTGGCAATAGCTGATGTGGCTTGGTTCCTTTCTGTTTAACGCGGTCTATATTGTGGTTCTTAGTACCGCACTCGGTCTTGTGGTTAATACTTTGTCCCTTATACTTTGCACAGTCGGTCGAACCTACCTATAGTATCGACCGGTCTCGTTAGCAGCTTTCGCGTTTAGAGCACAGTGGAGGGTCGTTTGAGCTCCTTCTTCAGGTGTTCTTATGAAGTATCTCACGAACCGACTTTCGTAGAGTTTTTTGATCCACGGGCGTGCGGCCGTGTCCAGATGGCGTGACAACTCTGTTGCGATGACCCCTGGGTGCAACGCATAAGTCGTCACAGTTTTGATACGTTTTTCTGAAATAAACGAAAAAGTATTGGACCGCGTTTAACAGCAAGGAACCAAGCCACATCAGGTATTGCCAAATTTAACCGAGCAATTTAATTTGTAACAAGAGAATGTTTGTGCGGATTCTTTCGAAAATTTTAAGGAATTTGTTGCGTGCTGCGCAAAAAATTCACTGAAATTTGCACAACAATTCGTAGGACCTTTTTTATGCAAAAAATGAAATTGCCCAATTAAATTTAGTCATAGCCGATGTGGCTTGGTTCCTTTCCACTCAAGGCGTTCCTATTCGTAGAATATACGAATAGGACCGCCGATCATGAAGGATCATAAGATCATTTATCCGAAGGCAACTTGAAAAATACGGAGGTTTTCGATGAGTTGGCGATGTGATAAAAAATGAGATTAATTCAGGTGTGATTTCAGCAACATTTTGTAGAACGATTCGATAGTCAATTTGTCGGAGGCAACTGGTCAAATCAGGCATTTTATCATTCGCGAAGGCAGGTGGTCAAATTTTGTAAATTTATGGCGAAAGAGCTCTACCTCTCTTATACTCGCTAGGTGGTTTATTCAATGCCTAAAAGAATAGTTCCCCGTAAAAACAGCAGATATGGTCTTCATTTAAAATCTTTGTATCTCGTTGACATTTGCTTCAAATTTAAATTTTTAAAGCTCATTTTTTGGAGGAGGATTTGTTCTATAATACATTTCTTGACTGAACCCTATTTGTTGCACAGACGTAGAACCGCACGGCTTTGAAAAATTTAAATGTGATTTTCTCATAACTTAAAAATGCGACATTCGCTGTTCTTTCATATGTCGCAGGCAATTTGCAATCGCCAGTGGTAAATAAATGTAGGAAAGCATACAATTCAAAAGCAAAATAAAAAGATTAGAGTGCTGATTATGTTGTCTTTAATGTGAATAAGCTCTTTTCCCACCGTAAAAACATAGTAGAATGAGGCACCCTCAGAAGAGCGTTCAGTGAACTCCGTGACATTAGTTGGGTTGAGATCGGATAGGCAACTAAACTAACTTAGTGACCAAGCGTAGAGTGTCACAAAAAATGAAGGCGCTCCAAGGTGAGCTGATGCTTTCTAAGACCATAATCCTTAAAAATTTTATTATGTCGATGCGCATCGTTGCGAGTTATTGAAACAACATGTGAACTGCTTGCAAATTGCCGGCGACACATATACTCGTAAGGCTTCATATCTAGATGATAAGCTTTAAGTAATTCCACTTTCCCACGTTATACGTTTTTCGTGAATGTAGTTTATCGTTAAATGGTATTGTTTTGCGACATGTTCTTGTTTGCGTACCAGTAAGGCGACGAGCAAGTTCTCTCGTGAACCAGATGTTTGCAAGCTTGCTTCTCCCATAGGCAACTCTTGGGTTGTACTTCTTTTTCAGCTGGATATCATCGTAATGCATATTCCCGCTGCCTATGAAATTACAGAGGATCAATATGAGTTCTTTGGCAGTTGAAAAAAGTAACAATTTCACGGAAAAAATTAGATTGCTGATTTAAAAAGTCAATTGCTAAAAAAAAAGACTGCAACGTTATAACGAAGATTTTACGGGAAAAAAATGCTACTTTAACCACTATTGTAAGCTAATTTAACCACGGGGGTGGGTAAAGTAGCACTTTTGTGTTGTAAAATCTACATTAAAACATTGCAGTCATTTTTTTTTAGCAATTGAAGTTTTAAATCAGCAATTGCATTGTTAAATCAACAATTTAATTTTTCCGTGTTGTCTCAACTTTATGAAAGCTGTGGAATGGTCTTTTTGTGTCAAAGATAGATACACATTTTTGTGAAGCAGCCCAAAACAATGGTAACAGGAGTAATACAAGAGGAAAAAACGAGATTTAAGACTAAAATACTACATTTAAACACCCGAGACGTTTCGGCTCAAAACTGAGTCATTTTCAGTCGAAATAATGCAATACAAATTATAAAATTTCGATGAAAAAACATGAGACCTACATGTTGGTGGCCCAGATCCAAGAAAAATGAACGAATCAAAACCGATTATTATTCCGACTAAAAAACACTCAGTTTTGAGCCGAAACGTCTCGGGTGTTTTACTGTCGTATTTTAGCCTTGTTTCCCGGTTTCCCCCTTGTTTTTTTCCTGTTAGTGTCAAGGTAGAGTGACTATTGGTCAATGTGACTTCTGCACTTATGGACCGCATTTAGCAGGAAGGAACCAAGCCACACCGGCTAGTGGCAAATTTTACTGAGCAGGTAATTTTTTGCGAGAGAACGTTTGTGCGGGTTGTTTTGAAAATATTAAGGAATTTGCTTTGTACTATGCAGACAATTCTCTGAAATTTACATGAAAATCCGCACAACCGTATTCGTGTAAAAAATTAAATCGCCCAATTAAGTTTGGCAGTAGCTGATGTGGCGTGGTTCCTTCCGCCTTAACGCAGTCCACGTAAGATACCAATTAGCACTGAACTACACTTAAGCAATCGAACAAGATACCAAAGAAACTGTAAAAAGAAACGGAAATACATGTCTGCTTAAATACGTGTATTCAAATGAGAAATTTCGCCAGACGACGTCACTACAGACAGTGCATTTTCTCACTTTTAAATCTATTTTTATACTATTTCCCATATCAGAAAAACCCATAAAAAATATTGTAAGATCAGCGCTTTAAGCACTCTCAAATGAAGCGATGAAAAATTTGCGTGCAAATTCGCTCCGTTGCCCGCAAGGATCTATTTTCAAAGCAATTCTGCCCGATCTGACTTGACTTTCGTGAAATTTGTATTTTAATTACGTTATTTTAAAAGGCCTCCTTAATCATAACGTAAAGTAGGGCATAATGCCCGTGGCGTGACGCACTTTTCGATATATTGATTGATATGCCATTTAAACCCGATAAGGATCGATAAACAGGGTGTTCGCAATGAACATCTTAATAATCGATTCTTTACCATAGCTTCAAATGGGGAAATATCGATTATCGATCATTCACACCTCGCCACTGCATAGCGTATACGGTCTTCCCGCAGGAGAGAGCTGTTTAAGGAACGACCATTAATGACCTTAACATTTTAACAAACTAACTTACTTCACTCACTAAACTTTACTTTACGAAACTTAACTTACTTTTTCATACAATATAACAATACTGAACATGGGTGCTTACGTACTGAATATGTGTGCCAACGAAGCAACGTTTACGATGCGCGACGGTGCTGATTTAATAATTCTCGGAAGAAGTTTCAACGTGAGTAAATAGTGGCCCAAAAAGTTGACTGCAAACTGCATCTCTTGTTGGTCTGCCGTTAGTCCCCATTTGCACGCCATGACTCCTGAAAAATATGGAACGATTTTGCAACGTTGCAGACTTCCTGTTATACTTTGTCGTCTTTTCGGAAAACTAGCCAATGTGGTCCAAAACCGCCTTAATTTTTCTTCTTAGCCAGCAGAATATTTTTGAAGAATTTATAGTTGGCTTTTTCCTTCATAAAGTTGTCTTGCCGTTGTTGGTACAAAAAGTTGACACATGAGAGGAAAAAAAAACACTAAGAAGTGGCCCGAACTGTATGTAAAAAGGTGCAGAAATGGTGCTGGGTTCACACCATTTCGCGGAGAAATCAAAGCCAAGAAGTTCCAAAAATTATAATTAGAGTCAAAAATAATTTCTTTTTTTTACTCATTTTTGTTACTCATTAGAGTTAAAAAAATTTAATTTTGACTCTAATTATAATTTTTGGAACTTCTTGGCTTTGATTTCCGCGCGAAAAGTTGACACATTCTGTCTCTCTCTCTCCCATTGCCGCAATGGGAATTACTTTCTGCCGTAGTCAAGACTTTATTTTTGGAAATTTTGAGAAGATTTTTTTCCTGAGTGTTCCTCAAGTATGTTACTATATCCCCTGGATCTCCAATCTTGAATAACTATTACAATTTTTATTATTTTGGCAAATATATACGGCTATTTTGAGCCAGCGCGACGTGGTGGCCAAATCGCGAAGTTCCAAGCCTGGATTCACCTTAAAAATATTCGAGCCATACGTAGAGCGAAGCGGCACGCGCACTGGCTCCAACAAACCTAACATGGATACTTCACGCATTGCGCAATGCGTGAAGTATCCCTGTTAGGTTTGTAGGCGCCGATGCGCGTGTCCCGCTGATCGCCCTCGCCCGCCATGGCGCGGTGCTTCAAGCAACTAGAGTCCCTTTATAGAGAGTTGAGACAACGCGGCTCATGGATGTCACAAACGGGAATAAAGATGTTGGGAGCTGATCTGGGCTAATCCAAGATCAGCAACCACCTTCTCACGGGAGTGAGGGAAACTGAAGGAAAACGCAAGAGATAGGGGGCTAAGATATAATGGTAAGCTACAAGGTGAGAGACTACAATGAAAGAACTACAAACGGAAGAACTACAAATGGAAGAACTACAAATGAAAGTACTACAAATGAAAGAACTACTAAGTAGCACACACTCTTAGCGGTTGAGCGCCGTACGCTGAAAGTGACTTGCCGTGCAAGTAAGGTCTTGCCGTGCAAGTAATAAGAGCTTGCCGGGCGAGGATAAGGACTCACCGTGTGAGAGTAGCCGTTCGTGGCGGGACGAGAGAAGAACCGTGCGTGGTTGGGCGAAGGTGACGGCTAGCGTCGGGGTAAGAACTCTAAAGTGAAAAGGATGAAATCTGAACTGTGAACTGCGATCAGAGCAGCGGCTAAGCGGTGTTTTATAGTGGGCGCCCAAGGGTTGATCTGCTTGCGCAGTTACAGGGATGTGAGGGAGATAATGAATTCGAGCTGTCAAAACGGCGGGCAGACGAATTGTAATGAGAAAACGGGATAGAGGGCGACGAGGGGAGCTCTCTATCACAAAGATTACACAAATCGGACATATTCTGTAATCTTTGACCAACCCATTCCTGTCTCCGTTCCCTCTCTCAATTTGTTTCTTTGCCGTACCCCCAATTCCTCAGTCCATTCCAGTTTTTTATAATCTTGCAATTGGTGAAAGTGCAATCTTTATTCCCGTTTGTGACACTGTGAAGGCCTAAAATACGGGAACCAATCAGAAATGGATTTGCACTGTCTTTACTCTCAGTATAAAGAGACTCTACACTACAAGCAACTACTTTACAACAGAGGTGTTGCACAGTATCGCGTGGACGTAAACTTCCAGAAAAAAACAGGTGCGCAGACGAAAAATCGTTGACGAAACGTCCTATAACCGCTGCGACACATACATAATTATTACATACCTGCATTGTTTATCAGATAATTGATTTTCTCCTCTGTGCGCATGATATCCGCGGCAAATTCACGAATAGTTCTAGTCTTTGACAGATCCAGATATTTGCACACAACAGTGCCTCTATCTTTCAATTCTTTTGTTTTGTTCAAAATGTCATCAGCAGCTTCCTTACACGTATCGGTATTGCGACAGGCCATTATCACACGAGCTCCTACATGTAATAAAATTAGCAAACAGCACGGGTTAGTAAAGCATTCATCGGTTCTGTTGCAAGCAAGAGCTACAGGCGACTGAATACACTTTTGAAAAGTTGTTGAGCCGCATGTTGCATGTAATTATACTTATGAGTGAGGAAAACGTGTGCCAAAGATGCATAATTTTTTTTACAATTTTATTTTTCAGGTGTTCCTAATGCATTTCAGGACTCAGTACCATCATCTGAGCATTACCTAAAGATACTACTTCTTTTTTTTCTTTATTGGGAACTATGGTCACTTACTTTTCTTTCTTTTTCATCTTTTGGTTTTTGAAGGATAGTTATTTAGCATGATCACAAGTGAATCAGTGAGTTCGAAAACACACCAACTCGGGGTTTTTTCGATTTTCTCTTTTTTACGGTTTAGTAACACTTATGGGTAGAAGCATCTGCACGCAAAAGGAAATTTCGAAATTGCAATCGGAAAAACTCGAAACAGCGAAGGGAAAAGGGAAAAATCGAAGTATTTCATTGGAAAGACCAACTTTTCGGTCATTTCAAGGGAAACGAGTGACCAACCGATTTTGATGTTTTCTTTTTTCGGTTCAGTATATCTTGTACCAACAAGTTACATAAATATTCAAGCGTTATTCAGGTCGAAAAATATAAATTTTTCAGGGCAGACTATAAAAAATCAGTATCTGAAAGTCGGTGAGAACGAAAACACACCAACTCGGAAATTTTTAAACGCTTAATTCTCTGGTATCAAACATGGTGTATAGATTTCAACTTGGTGCTTTACAAAGTCTATAAGTACTTGTCCTCTGGCACTAAAAAGATTTTTGTTAAACTATCTTCTTCGCCCGCTGCGCAGTTTTAGATGTTTCCTGAACAATTTTTTTTTCCGAGTTGGTGTGTTTTCGAACTCACTGATTCAAGTGAAAGCAGTTATTTATGAAATCAAAAAAGTAGGAGATTAAAGGAGGTTTGCGCGCAATTCATGTTTTCTTGTAAACGCGTCTCAACTCTCTTAGCCGTACCTCTTTTGCAAAATTCAAGGGCCGTGACTTTTCCTATTCCAGTGTTGCTTCCTGTTATAATCGCCACTTTGCCATCCATCCTTTCCTCGCCTTTGTATTTTTTGTAGAATAGACTCATTATCTGAAACAGGAAAGCAAATTATTCTATCTCATATACGATACTTGATAATTAATTATTTTTTTACTTTTATTCTATTAATTATTTTATAGACTTAACCAGCGAGCTCGTTTCCTCTATCCTGTTTCCTATCCTTATACCAGCCAAAGAATCACTCATTTGAACTGTTTGCTAATCGTGTAACTCGGATGAAAAGAAGGTGGAAGAAACCAAGAGTGTCAGTACCGAGGTACACTGGAAAAAAAAACACATTGGATCTAGAGCCCGGACTCTTAAAAACATCGACAAGAAAAAATACTCTTGATTTAATCAGATTTAAGGTTAAATCAAAAACCAAGCCTCTTAATTTGAGCGGATTTCCTTTTGATTTAAGCTTAAATCTGATTGAATCAAGAGTCCTTTTTTTGTCAATGTTTTCAAGAGTCTGGACTGTAGATCCAATGTGGTTTTTTTCCATTGTAGATGACGTCATAAACCGAATTTTTAAAAGCGCGATATCTCGGTTAATTAATTGAACGTAGCAAGTTGCTGTTTGGACGGATCTTATTATTTTTAGCTAATCTGCAAGAATCAAGCACAAAACACGATTTTGTTACCAGCCCAACTGACCCATTAAAAATTCTTTAATTTCAGTCTAAAAATGTAGGCGAATTCTTACCCGCGGAATATGCCAATTTCTCCAATGTAAATACTTTCTGAGTCCACCACTGCTCCCAGATTTAGAACTGCTTGATCCAGAACTAAAACTGCCAATTTTAGAAACGCTGGATCCAGATCCAGGGCTGCTAGATCCACACTCAACGATTCCCAGGAACCGTACCAACAGCGCGAAAACCAAAACTGTTTTTAATCGGACTCTAAGGACCATCACGACCGCTAGTTTGTGACTAGGCACACAGTTTGAAATGTGCATAGACTGAGCATACGCTATGCCTTTGCTCCACTACCAGCATGACTCTATTAGCTGAGTCATTCCCGGCAAAAAAAGTTATATCGTCATTGAAGTCTATTAATAACATAAAAACTCCCGTGATTCTTCTAGCTGCGTCATTTCTGCCTGAAAAATGTCTTTCATCATCATTGAATCGCATCAAGAACGTAAAAAATCCTTTTAGCTCATCGTGATTTCGTCTTCTTCCTGCCGAAGTATCACGTCGCATACGTATAAAAATTTCCGCCGCCATTTTGTTTTTTAACAGTGAGATTGTTGGCTGAATCTGTTCGAAAATTTTACCGAATTTTATCGGTAGCACAAAGAAAATTCAGTGAAATTCTCGGACAGCTTTGTTGAAAAATTTCTCTGTAAAGAAATAAAATGACCGGCAAAATTTCTGAACGTCGCACGGCGCTTGTGATACTTTGGCCGGAAGTTATGAGCTGTAATGAGCTCAACCGCACTTAACGTTCGATAATGATCATGGTCTAATGACGTTGGACTAATAATGTTCCAGGAAATAAAAACGTAACGCATTTTTTAAAAACTTTTTTTACGTCTTTATCCTTTTTTATAGCCTTTTTATTTTTTTACCTACTTTTCATTAGATTTCTGCGCGCAACGCCCTAGGATATATTTAATTGGGGTCGTGCGCACTGCTTTGTTTTGTCAGTGAAAGTTCTTGGGCGTGTTTTTCCATGACGCCTCGGAATGAAAGAGGTGGCCAACTCCATTTGAGTCATTTTGATACTGGGAAAAACTATGTCTATTATCGTGACGGACCCCTTGATTCCAACGTAAATCGTAGTTTTAATAGAGAGAAATGAAGCTTTCTCTTTGAAGAGTCCTTCCTTCTTCAGCCGAGATACTCACAAATTTACATGAATACAAATTTGTATCATGCTAAACTTGGTAGATCTTTAAAATTCGGCTATCTGGCCAGTCGGCTATTTGTTGAAATTTATACACAAAGCAATCGGCAAAGAATACATAGAGAGTATGAAGTGATCCTATTGGTTGAAATGAGTGATTCCTAGCGAGACGAAGCGGATACATGATGGACTAACTATAGGGCCTCTCGTGGGTTGCCGTTAGTTAGTCTATTACCTACCTCTGTTGTCTATTCCAACCACCCGCTTCCGCCAATGGGATCCCCCCCATATCTTTTTTATCTTCTTTGTCGATAGCTTTGTCTATCGATTTCAACAATCAGCCTGCTAGCTTAAACAAAATGTCTTCTTTTAATCACCAGCCTGCAACATACGGACTTTATTTTTAAATTCATTTATCCCATAATGCACACTTGAGTAAATATTGCAATAAGGAACCACTATCCCTTGCTCTTCCGTAAAAGCACCTTTCTGCAGAGGGAAACTAATGGCATATATGGATTGCATTTTGCAAAAAGGAACCAAGAGCATTGCAATGTTGCTAAGATCGTGCAACTTCTTTTGTCTTTGAAAAAAAAACCTGGTTATTTATTGTCAGTTTCTATTTTACGCGCAGAAACTGTGAATCTAAGACAAAAATTACTTTGTAAATGATTTCATGATTCCAGTTATTTTACTATAAAGGATGAATTTGCATAATCTTAGCATCATTGCAATGCTTCTGGTTCCTTTTTGCAAAATGCAATCCATATGTTGTTTCTAAAATGAGCCAGAAATAGTGGTTCCCTATTGCAAAATGTGGTCCACTTGTTTGCCGCGACATTGCCACCAGATCGATACCGCCAGCGCTGACGGTATTATTTTTCCCGTCAAGTGTTCGAAATCCAGACCGAACTACGCTTTCAATACCGCAAAGAGAGTTTTCATTAAAATTATGAAATTTCCCGCGGAGAAACACATTTCCGGGGACCGGGAGAGGGGACTCGGGTATAAAAATACGGCGGGATTTGTGTGCACATTCGATATCGGACGGGAAGTCAGGTTGGCAAACAAAGGACATTAAAAAGTGTAATTTATCACGAGGCAGGAAGCGGAGTCGACTTTCCAGGTGGGCAGCCAACGACAGGAAAGGGGGAGTCGGGGGGCGGCCTTTGGAGTGGGGGCGGGGGGCGGGAAACAAGCCTAATTACAATTTTAATTTGGAGCCGGTCCAGCCCTTGACTGGGAGTAGCTGGAGGGCGGGGGTGGAAGGGGGGACGAGGGTTTAGGGCGATTGTTGTGATGAGGGGGGGGGGAATGAAGCCTGTCACGATGATAGCGTTAGGTGTGTGACGGACACCCTCTTTTGAGGTGGTGTCCCGATTAATTTTACCGAGAATTTCGCCTTGGATGAATTTTATTGCTGTTTTTATTGATTTGACGAGTATCCATTTATTTTTAATGATTATTAGATTTTTTTTAATATTTACATGATGTTATATTTAGATAGCGTAAGTTGTGTGACGGACACACACTTTTGAGGTGGTGTCCCGATTAATTTTACCGAGAATTTCGACTTGGATGCATTTTATTGCTGTTTTTATTGATTTAAGGAGTATTTCTCTCTTCATAATGATTATTAGATTTTTTTTTTTTAATATTTACATGATGTTATATTTAGATAGCGTAAGTTGTGTGACGGACACACTCTTTTGAGGTGGTGTCTCGATTAATTTTACCGAGAATTTTGGCTTGGATGAATTTTATTGCTGTTTTTATTGATTTGACGAGTCCTTTACTTTTAAAGATTTTTAGATTTTTTAATATCTATATGGCGGCGTCTTAACAAGGTGAGGAAATGGTGCTGGATCCACACCATTTGGCGGGCCATATGTCACGAGGAAAAATAGTCACACTGCATCGTACTTATCCGCACGCAGAAGAACGCGTAAGGCGCTCGTGAGATAACTATTTTAACTTCCAGGAAGCGAAATTGCCTATCCTACGATATGAAGGCGTTTTGTGGCGCCTCTTTAATGTGCTTCTGTTGAAACTGATCAAACGCAGAACGAGAGAAGGGCTGCGTATGACTTCTATTCTAGTGGGTTGAAACAAGACATTCTTAAGAGCTGTAGCTACTGCCATTGTTTTGTTGCTTTGATTTTGAAGGATCGAACAAACGATGAAAAAGTTGATTTTTTCCTGAAACTTTGAAGTAAAATCTCGTTTTATTGTACTTTTTTCAACCTAATCGTCGTGGACATGGAACAGAAAGTGCTCGCAATTATGTAGAATTTACGAATTCTTGGCACGGGCCACGCAAACTGTGTGAAAAGGAATAGATTTCAAACTTATGCTGTCTTCGTCGTAATTTTCGTGCGATTTGTGGAAAAAGCCCATATCCCGTCATTTGCCAACCCCAAAATGGACTACATTTCGCTGCAAGGAACTACAGTATCTAGCTCATCCATAAAAGCACCAGCTATTGGCACGGAAAATGAAATGACCCCATCGTTGTTTCTGTAACGAGTCAGAAATAGTAGTTTCCTATCGCAATATGAACCTTAAATGGACTTTATTTTGCTATTTTATTAGGAACTACAATTTTCGGCTCATTCGTAAAAACACGTATGTGCATAGGAAAACAAATCGCACATATGTGGTCCCTACACCGAGCCAGAGATTGTAGTTCCTAGTCGGATAGTAGTCCATAGTAGTTTCCCATCGCACTATGAACCTTAAATGGACTTCATTTTCCTATTAGGAACTACAATATTTGGCTCATTCGTAAAAACACGCATGTGCACAGAAAAACAAATCGCACATATGTGGTTCCTAAACCGAGCCAGAGATCGTAGATCCTAATAGGAAAGTAGTCTATACATTGGAAAAAAAACACATTGGATCTTGAGTCCAGACTCCTAAAAACATCGACTAGAAAAAGCACTATTGATTCAATCAAAATCTAGCTTAAATCAAGAACCAAACTTCTCAATTTAAGCGGATTTCCTTTTGATTTAAGCTTAAATCCGATTGAATCAAGAGTATTTTTTCTTGTCAATGTTTTAAAGAGTCTGGACTCTAGATCAAATGTGTTTTTTCCCAGTGTATAGTAGTTTCCTATCGCAATATGAACCTTAAATGAACTTCATTTTGCTATTAGGAACTAAAATTTGTGGCTCATCCATAGAAACACGTATGTGCACAGGACAGAAAATCGTACATATGTTGTCTCTAAACCGGGCCAAAGATTGTAGTTCCCAATCGTGAAATGAAATCCGAATAACCTGGTTATCCGGTTACGTTGGCTAATTTTCAATGTTGTTGTGTTTCAGAAGCTGTGGAGAGCGGCTCGGCGGCGGCGGCGGCCGGAGCGGGGGTGGGGGTAGGTTTGGGGGGCAGCGGGAGCAGTGCGTGCCCCCTCCGGCAGATGCAGTGCGGCAACGGGTTCTGCGTGCCCCTCACGTGGATGTGCGACGGCGAGGACGACTGCGGAGACAACACGGACGAGACTTCGCCCGAATGCTCAAGTGAGTCCTTGTCTTACACCTACCTTATGTCTAAAATTGGACTGCTTATTGCAGAAAGGATCTTCAATTTCCCGCTCATACATAAAAACATCTATCTGCGTAGGGAAATTAATGGATCATATTTTGTTTCTAAAAAGAGCCAGAAATTGTAGTTCTCAATCTCAAAATGTATTCCAATTGGACCGCGTTTAGCGCAAAGGAACCAAGTCACATCAGCTATTGCCAAATTGAACTTGCACGGAGAAAAAAACCTCGTGCGTGGGACCCGAAGTTTAGGTCATATGTGGATCTCTGAAGTTTTCGGATTAAGCATCTGAACACTTTAGGTCTAGCTGTCGAGGTTCGGATCACACATCTGAAACTCCAGTTCTTACATCTGAAGTACTTCAGATGTGAGAACCGAAGTTTTTCGGATGTGAAAACCGGAGTTGTTCGGATGTGAAAACCGAAGTATACTTCAGATGTAAGAACATAAGTTTCAGATGTGTGATCCAAACCTCAGCAGCTGGACCTAAAGTGTTCAGATGCTCAATCTGAAAACTTCAGAGATCCATATGACCTAAACTTCCGGTCTCACGCACGAAGTTTTTTTTCTCCGTGTGGCAATTTAATTTTTTACATGAAAACGGTTGTACAGATTTTTGTGCAAATTTCAGTGAATTTTCTGAATAGTACAAAGCAAATTTCTTAAAATTCACAAAGGAATTTGAGCAAACATTCTCCTGCAAAAAATGAAATTGCAAAGTTAAAGTTGGCAATAGCTGATGTGGTTTGTTTCCTTTCTGTCTAAAACGGTCCAATTGTTGCTCCTCCAAAGTAAGGGTATACTTGCGTTTCATGTTCAACCTTATTGTCCATATAACTTCATTTTTCCGGACCTCAGCAGGCGTATACAGGGTGTCCGAAAGTTAACGTACTTAACTCTAAGCTCATGCAGGGCCGACTTTTTTCATATACACATTTGTCCGAAAACGCTTCATAATGGAGCTATGCGCTTCCTTTGCTACTTACTATATTTTCTTACAGTCCTTTGCAGTAAAAGTTCCCTACCCAGCAAGGTTTTTCGAAAATCTGAAACGTTTTCGAAGCTCTGTTGCGTTGAAATGACAAGTTTCGAACAACAAATTTTCCCTGAAAACTACTTCAAATCATGTATTTTTAAGCATCTGGCATATCCTCAATTGTCAGAGAATTTTACCAAAATGTGACAGGAAACCAGGAAAATTTCGACGAATTTCATCCTCTAAATTCTGTGGCAACCCTGTTTGCAGTTGATACTTCTACCGGTTCTGTGCACCAATGAAGACAGGGTATTTTTGTGAAACGAAACTCGAGTCATTTATGCCCTCGAGATAAGTTTTTCGACTTGGCTGACGAGGCGAAAAAATGTCTCGCAGCGGCACGAGGTAAATTCACGATGCGAGCGACGCCGCGTTTCGGGAGATAAACCGTGTTATTTATTTTCCGCCCTTACTTTTCTGGAAGGAGCACCTTTGGGTTAGGGGCGCATGCGCGCGCAGAGAAAACGACGGGAGCTTCCTAACGCGTTCGTAGCGCTCTCAGAACGGTTCGGATCGAGAATAACTTATTCATGCCGTTCGGAGAGGTGCAGGGTTAAGACGGAGCCCATCAGGCGAGGGTCTTCGTAAATGCATCGTAAATACACCGAGAAACGCTATCGCATTGAACTACGCGTATACTGTGTGCGCTCGTATCAGGTCTGTTCCCCAGATTGACTCGCAAGTTGAGTCTCACCTCATCGATGTTGCCTACAGGGTGATCCTAAAGTCTAGTGCCTTGGTACTGGAGAAAAAAACTTCGGTCCTATGAACCGAATGTGCGGTTTTCAATATCGGCCGTATCGTTAGGTTCAGCGACCGCTCTCTCCAGGGTCTCTACAAGTCCGGAATTTCCGGAAAGTCCGAAAATAGTACTGATTTTTAAGGGCGGTGCGGAAATACTGAAAAAGTACGGAAATTGCGCAAGAAGGTCCGGAATTTACTGGCGGAAGCACTGAAAAAGTACGGAAAATGTGCAAGAAGGTCCGGAATTTCACTAATTTTCGTCGCAATTTGAGCGAGAAATTCAAATTTTTCGAATTTCGTCAAATTAGAGTACTGGAAAAGTACTGAATTTTTCTTGTGAGGAGGTACTGATTTTCTTGGAATGTACTGAAAAAGTACCGGAGAAGTACTAATTTTTGGCCAGCCTGTTTTAGTAGACACCCTGCTCTCGGTTCTTGGAACAGTTCTTTCAGTTCATGCAACTGAGCATTCAAACCGAACAGAACTAACGAAAAAGCTCCGTTGCACGAACCGAAGATGCGATTCCCAGAACTGAGAGAGCGGTCTCATGAATCGACCAATACGGCCGACATTGAACACCGAACATTCTGTTCATATAACCTTTATTTTTCTTAGTTCACTAGTACCAGGCATCATGATGCCACTGTAACTTTTGAAAAATTGAGGTAGAGACTTGATATCTTGTCAGTGCTACTAGGTCAAAAGAGACGAATGGACCCCTTGCATGTGTCCGGAATTTGCTTGTGCTCAGATTGCACCGGGTGCTACGCCCGGAACTTTCGGCCTCTGAGCCCGGAACGCGGACGGTATGCCTATTAGTCCAGGCGCCTGGTAGCTAAAAACGAGGCTACCTGGAATTTTAGGTACACAGCGATTTTTTTGGCTTACTGTATGTTTTTTGGGTCGCATTTTGAAAAAATGGCCTAAAAAGGCCTTTTTTTGCGGTTTTTTTGATATAGCGGCTACGCATGAGAAAAAGTCCCGGATTTAGTTAATGTTTTGAATAGCTGACATAATTTGGAAGAAAATGGTGTGTCCATATGCTAGGTTTGCTTAAAAATTGAGGAAGATACAGCATCGTGAACATCGCGCCCATTCACGTTTTCGCGGCGCACCCGTCAACGCGCGATCCGGCTCGCTGCGGTCAGCCAAGTTCCGAAGCGTTCCAAAGTTCCGAGATCCGAGGTTCCTCAATTTTTGAGCAAACCTTGCATATTCATATACCAGTTTCTTCCAAATTTTGTCTGCTATTCAAAACATTAACTAAATCCGGGACTTTTTCTCATGCGTAGCCGCTACATAAAAAAACCGCAAAAAAAGGCCTTTTTAGGCCATTTTTTCAAAATGGCGGAAAACGCTCACCAGATACGCGGTAGGAAACTTCAGATTTGGGTTCAGCGACCCAAAAAACATAAAGTAGCCAAAAAAGCCAAAAAAAGCCAAAAAAATCGCTGTGTACCCGAAATTCCAGGTAGTCTCATTTTTAGCTACCAGGCGCCTGGACTAGTATTCCAGTCACAGGAATTGAAAGTCTTCTGTGATGAATGGATTAGGCGAATCGATATTGTACCCCAAAGTTTTGCCGAATTTTCTCTTTGAGCACGCAATTTTTGACCGTCATTGTGGCAACTTGGGTCGGATAATCTTCCGCTGAAAACTATTAGTGCCGGATGATTTTCCCGGAAACTTAAAGGGAGCTCACTCACTCGAGCGAGATGATCGGAGGAGCTTAAAAGTGAGGTTAAGTGGCCCGGGGGTGCATAAAGTTCCCAAGTGTCAGTTACTTCCTTCGATCCGCCCCCCGTGCCTTCCTTTGACTTCCACCCAAGTTTTATCAGTTTCCCGCTAAATTTCATGAAATTCTCGTAAAACTTTGATTTACTTCCTCGTACCCAAGAATTTGTCATCGTAAACGGGTTGTTTTTTAGGGTCTTCCTGTTCTTTGAAAGCCGCGCCGTTTTCCTCCTTATTCTTCGTGGGCACCAAAACGAATGGCTTTTCTCCTCTTCCTCTAATTAAATATGTGCAGCCGGGAATAAAATGTTTTAAAGACTCCGCAGAGTGCCTTACAAACTCAAGGTCGCCAGATTGTTCGATAAAATCTGGAGATTATCCGTTGTGTTGAGTGCGGGGGAATAGTGCTGATTTTGCAACATTGGGGAAAAAACACATTGGATCTAGATTTCAGACTCTTGAAAACATTGACAAAAAAATTTACTCTTGATTAAATCAGATTTAAGCTTAAATCAAAAGGAAATCCGCTCAAATTAAGAGGCTTGGTTCTTGATGTAAGCAATAATCCGATTGAATCGAAAGAGTATTTTTTCTTGTCGATGTTTTTGGGAGTCTGGACCCTAGATCCAATGTGTTTTTTTCCCCCAGTGTTATCGGCTATTTTTTTAAGTAAAATTTAATTCTTTGCGGAATTTACGTTAGAAAACATTTAAATAGGTTGCTACTTTTCATGAGTTTTTGAACATTTTTTCCAACGTTTTTAGTGTTGAAAAAGTATGGTTGATATTTTCAGAAATTTTCAACCCATTTTTTCCTTGGCTTATAGGACATTTCGTTAACGATTTTTCGTCTGCGCACCTGTTTTTTCTGGTAGTTTACGTCCACGCGATACTGTGCAGCACCTCTGTTGTGAAGTAGTTGCTTGAAGCGTGCGCCATGGCGGGCGGCGACGATCAGCGTGATACGCGCATTGGCGCCAGCGCACGTTTTGCGCAATGCGTGAAGTATCCCTGTTAGGTTTGTAGGCGCCAGCGCACGTTTTGCCCAATGCGTGAAGTATCCCTGTTAGGTTTGAAGGAGCCAGTGCGCGTGCCGCTCCGCTCTAATTATGGCTTGAATATTTAAACTCGCGGAGTCAACGTTTCTCAATTCATGATTTTGAAATGTTTGCACACTCTGCATGGATCATTCTCTTTTAAATTGATGGGAAAAGATGTGTAGGAAAATATGATGTGGTAATAAGTATGATAATTGTAATTAATAATGATAATTGACAAAGTATGATAAGTATGATAATAATAAGTATGATGTGTGAGACAGTTTCGTATCAAACTTTATGATCTCCTATGAACGTTAATTTTTTCTTTTATATATTGGGCTTTTACGGTGCTACAGCGTAGTGCACGCGAATCCAGACTCTCAAAATTGGACCTATTTGACTCTAAAGATCGATGTAGAAAT